CGACCGTATCGTCTGGGTTGTACTTCGTCGTCAAAACCCATCGATTCTTCATGACATTAACCCCAGGCGGACGAGGAACCAGCTCCCAAGTCTCTTGATCGTAGAGAGTCTGCATCTCTGCATCCATTGGAGCTTTGACTGCTTCACCTTTCCAACTCTGCAAAGCTTCTGTGACTGTCATGGTCGAAATGTCCCAACGATGATCCGTGTCGACGACGCACTCGTCAGCAGAGTCGAGCACTTTCTGCACTACATCCTCATGCATGTCGTCGAGCGAAGTCATCGTAAACATTGTCAGTGCTTCACGGAATCGGATCGGCTTCTGAATCTTTCGACCGTAGCGAGAAACCTGAAACTTCTCGTCTGCCGGTCCTTCTTCTGCAGGTTCCTTTTCTGCAGCAATTTCTTCTAACTCAGGCATCTCTTCTTCGACATTTTCTTCTGCAGGCAGCTCGTCTGCAGATCGATCTTCTGCCGATTGCTCTTCTGCGGATCGCTCTTCTGTAGATTTTTCGTCTGCGGGCTGTTCAACTTCTCGACGCTCATTGGTGACGACATTTATCGGCAATTTGCTCCCCTCTTCGCCAAGGAGTGTCGACAATGGCACCAATTTTTCAGTCGAAGGAAAGAACGTCGAAGAAGAGGCAGTCGACAGCTGCTCCCCTGTCGAAGAAGAGTCTGAGCAAATGTCTTCTGCAGAACGAACCTGCTCCGCAGAAGGAGCGTCATCTGCACGAGAAGTGTCTTCTGCAGGAGGAACCTCTGGCAACGGCAAGAGTTGCACTGGAGGATTGTCAGTGGGCAGCTGCGGTCGAGGAATCGGCGTGGGCACGAGCTGAGGGGCTGGTGCCTTAGTCATTTCGTCATCATCATCGTCATCATCCGCAGGATCCGTCGGGAAGGATGCCACATTGTCGAGCGCAGCACGGTCGACGGTGGGACTCTGCTTCGTCGCCTTCCACTCTGCAAGAGACATTGTCTCATAGAAGATGGCTTCGACCGTGGTGATCAAACGGTTGCTCGACAAGTCGAGAACCAGCCACCCCTTACTCTGCTGCGAGACACCCAGGTGGAGACCCCAACGAGCTTTCGGCTCCAACTTCCCCCCCCGCTGACTGTCCGGAATGAGGTACTGCAGCATACACCCCCAAACTCTAGCCATCCCAAGGTCAGGCTTCTTTCCGAAGAGCACTTCATAAGGAGTTACCCTTGATGGCAGAGAGGAATGTTCTAGATGATTCCTCACCCAAACAGCTTGCAAAGCTGCAAGGTGCCACCAATGGTGGGGAGCTCCCATGTGCAGAAGCATCGTCCTAACTGCTTCGACGACAGTCCGCATTTCACGTTCCGCCATCCCGTTCTGCTGCGGCGTATAGGGGCAGGTGAGGTCGTGCTCAATCCCTTTCTCTTCGAGGAACTCGGTGAATTTACATCCCAAAAATTCGCCACCTCGATCGGAGCAGAGAGCCTTCAGCGAAGCCTCACATTGCCTCTCTGCACGCGGAAGCCACTTCTGGAAAACGCGCAGAGCATCGCTTTTCTGCGCAATCGGGTAGAGCCAGACGTAGCGAGATTTTCGATCCTTGAGCAGAAGAAAGTAGCGGCTGCCATCTTTCGCAGGAACTCGGAAGGGCCCGCAGAGATCGATGTGCACTACTCCCAGCACCTTCTGCTCTTCGCTCCCCTCTTGAGGGAAACTATGCCGAATAAGCTTTCCCCCCACACAAGAAACACACGGTAGATCAGGGTGGGCTGACTTGTCAATATCCAAGCCTGTCGCTGCACCATGCGTCGCCGTCTTCTTGATTGTTTCGACGCCCGCATGTGCAAGTCGAGGATGCCACACATACATCTTCGCCCGTGTATCCGTCGCCAAGGTCCGCAGAGCAATCGCCTCCTCTGCCGATTTCTGCAGCGGCCACACCTGGAGATCTGTGCTGAGCACTCGTCCTCGATAACAAGCGCGTCAAAGGACTGTCCCATCAGTAGAGAGAAGGAGGGTCTCTTCACCTTCATCCTTCAGCTTTACCCCACAATCCTTCAGCTGCCCAGCAGACAACAGATTCGCATGGATTCCAGGTACGTAGAGCACATCAGGAATCAGAATCTGCTTCCCAGCTTCACCGCGTAGAGTGATTGTTCCGTGACCACACACGTCTTGGAATGCCCCGTTGAATCCGCGAACATGTTTAATGTTGCCGCCTTCATGCATTTCGACAAAGGCTGCATCGTCGCCCATCAGATGATGTGAGCAGCCACTGTCGAGAAGAACAACTGCAGGATCGGCCTCGACCGCTGCAGCAATCGCCTGAAAATCCTCACCATCTTCCGCATTCAGCAAAATGAGCAGATCGGTCGTCTGCAGCTGGTCCACAACTGGTCCCACCATTGAACAAGAAGGTCCCTTTTTGTTGGTCGAATTGGAGTTGTCGCCTTGCGCTCCAGTCTTCGAAGAACTCTCCTTCTGCGTGGAAGCATTGTTCTTCTTGTCGGCACGTTGTTCGCACTGGAACGCAAAGTGACCGCCTTCTCCGCAGACCCAGCAAGGTTTCTTCGAGCTCCGTTTGTTGTTCTGCTGTCGACCATCTTTCTTCTGCTGCTCCTTGTTCGACGACTTCTGCTCCGTAGAACCGCCAGTTGTCGAAGAAGACCAACGCTTCCGCTGCTGCTGCTGCTGCTGCTACTGCTGCTGCTGCTGCTGTCCCGTCGACGCCCAGTTGACCTGTGGCAGAGGTGATTCCTTCCGCTTTTCGAGCTCGAGCGTGCACTCCTCCGCGATAATTCTGCTCGTCAAAGTGTTTTCGTCGAGGGTCTTGCAGTTTTCCGGAGATTGTAGCATTCGTCGAAGGTACTTGTACTCTGCGGGAAGACCTGTAAGGACATGAGTCACATACGAAGCCATCGAATAGTTCACGCCAGCCATTCGCAGATTAGCGAGAATAATCTGCGCACGATTGCAGTAGGTCGTCGCCGTCTCATGCTCCGCCATCTCTAGCGTCGCCAAGCTCCTCTCCAGCTGGCCGATATAGAGATAGTCCGTTGCTTTGTAGGTCTCCATGATGAAGCGCCACGCCTGGTAGCCCGCGTCCACTCGAAGACGACATGACTTCAAGGCGATATTCACGGATGGAGAGCAGCAGCGCAATATCACTATAAAGGTCAGAAGTTGCGCCGAGCGAAATTGTGTATACTGTGAAGTGTCGCTCAGCCGTGGAATCTTGATCGAGCCGTCGATGAACGGCTTCAGCTACGCAATTTCAAGTTGAGGTTCGATGGACTCCCTCCAGACGGATAAGTCATGACGTCCTTCGAGAAGCTTCGGCACCACGATTTTGTCGGGAGAAAATTTGAAGTATCCGTAGTCAGGAGCAATTCCGCCGTCTTTCGATGCCGTTGGATGAGAGATTGCCGAGCTCCCACCAGTCTTCACTGCAGATTCTCGACCGCTCATGCGTCCTCTGCCAGTCGCCTTCTTTGGACTTGCATCCGCCTTCTATTGCGAGCCTTCTCCAGGGCTCATCAGTTCTCCTTGTCCTAGAACACCTCGTGGCTCCTGCATTCCGCCTTCTTCCGGTTCTTCAGCGTTCTCGTCGTCTCCAGAAGTCTGCGATGCCCCGTCTTCCTCTGAACGAGTCTGCGGATGGTCCATCTCCCATTGAGCTCGTGCTCCCAAGAGCATAAAGTTGAGCTCCCGCTCGGTAAGATCTCCGCCTTCATGACGAGCCATTAAAGCAGCCTCCTGCTCACTTAAACTGTCGAACATCTCGAGGATTTCCTCAGAGCCCACCATGTCGACTAGCTAAGTTCAATGAGACCTAACGTCAAAGAACGGATTCTATGCGTGTTCGATCCACGCTCACCGCACCATGCAGAGATTTCTGCTCTAACGGGAGTTGGAGCTCTACGAAATGCTTCTCTGCAGCCACGCAAACTTTGTTGTTCACTAAAGAGAAAATTGGCTAAGTGTTGAAAAAGGCATAGGTTTGGCACACATAGAAAATTCACTAGAATAGAATAAAGATAGAATACAACAAGGGGTGAAATAGAAGCTACCCAACCAATGAACCATGCAGAGAACGTTCGCCCAAGAACGTTTACAAACTACTTTTAGCTGCGCTTTGCCAACTCAGCGTCGGCAGGTGAAAATTACAACACGTGCTTAGTAGGTAATTTTTACCTACCTAAACGTAGTTGTTTTAGCTGTTCAGGTTGTTTTAAACAACTTCTGTAACGCACGTTTTCGTAGTTACGAAAACGTGCACCAGGTTCATTCTATGCAGGTGGTTCAATTTCGCCCCAGATTGAACACCCTAGTTCCGCGCACTGTTCCCCGGGGTCAATTTCTCAATGTCCTGCAATTTTCCGAAATTCCCACGCAAAAGTTCCGAAACGATCGCACTTTTGCGTCGGAGGGGTTCGCCGGTAGAAGACTCGGTCCTCTGCAGAATTTCGCTTCTGCAGATGCGCCATCTTCTGCAGATCCGAACTTCTGCAGGTGCGCCCTCTGCAGCTCCACGTTCTGCTCGGCAGATTCGCCTTCGTCTGCAGCGGAACCTGTTTTCCGCTTCTGCGAGGTGACTCTACTGCAGTTCAGAGTTCCGCGTTGACTTCTGCAGAATTCGCTTTGGCGGATTTCTCCCCTCCCCCGTAGAAAGCGACGACCCAGTCTGCAGGGTCAGTGCACACTCAACATGCCACGCACGCCAGCGAGTCGCGACTAGCGAAAAGTGGAAACACGGCGAGCCGAGCACGTCCAACCGGAGAGTCTTCTGAAAAATGCCGCACCACGCGCAATGCGGCAGGTCTCATGAATGCGGGCGTTTTGTGCATTTAAATATGCCCCGCTGGATCGCATGCCAGCACAACACCCTGAAGCACCCTGAGCGCTTATCGACTCGCACCTTTCAACGGCATTCGTCACTACAAATACGAGCATGGCGATTTCGTTCGCTCGCCCCGCTGCTCCTCGCCTCCGCCGCGCTTCGACCAGCCGAATCGGAATGGGTCGGGAAATCCGTAAGTCCGAGGAAGCGCGTGTCCCTCACGCGCCCCGCTCAGGCGCAACGCAGACAGCAGCAGCAGCAGCAGCAGCCCACGGCGGTCCAGGCGGGGCGAAGATCGTTTCAGCCGTTGGCTTTCCCCTCGTCCGCTCATCCGCCTCTGACGGCGCCGGCGCCACCACGAGCGCCATCACTCCGGCCGGCAGCGCGCCGATCAAGTACCACGGCGGGCCGGTGGTGGTGGGCGCACCGACGGTGAACATTTACCACATCTGCTACGGCAGCTGGGGGTCGGGGTCGGGCAAACGTGACAGACTCGTTCGTGCAGGCGCTGAGCAGCGACTCGGGCAGCCAGGGCAGGGCGGCGGACGCGAGTGTGAAGGCGTGGTGGGCCATCACGGCCGCGTACTACCAGAAAGACGCTGCCGGGATGAAGAACGTGAGCTCCAAGGTGAGACATGGTTGGTTTTTTAGGCGCCTCAAAAGTTAACTGCATGGCAAAAGTATCGAAGTGAAAAGGATGGCTCAGGACCCGACAGCGAACTAATCACTCCATTTGCCATTGCTCTTGCTGCTCCTCGTGCCGTTGCTCGTGCTGCACCTCGTATCAGCCCTTCATCTTCACCCTAATTAATTCCGCTTGCACGCCCTCTTGCTGCCATGTGCTCCTGAGGCAGGTTCGCCTAGCGGGGACTGTAAACGACAACTATTCACGCGGCAAGCAGCTGTCAGACATCGACGTGCTCACCAGTACGTGCCGCCCCTCAACCTACATGTGTCAATTGATTCCCCTCACCACTCACCCACCCCCCCACCCCTGTGTGTGCTGCTTATTCCAAGTGCACCTTACATGTGTTGGTTTAGTCCTGTTCATAATCACCTCTCACCCCTCACCGGCGCACACGCACGCTCAACTACATGCACACGCGCTGTCTCACCCTCCCCTCTGTCCTCTCATCCCCGTGCCGCCAACCACCCCCCTGCTGCTGCCCGTGCAGTTGTGAAGAGCAAGTTGGGGGCGGGCAAGCCATTGGCGCTGGACCCACAGGGCCTGTACGTGGTGCTCACCAGCGTCGACGTCACTCTGGGGGGCTTCTGCTCCGAGTACTGCGGGTGGCACACGCAGGACTCGCTCAACTCCACGCCACTGCGCTACGCCTTTGTGGGGCACCACGGGCAGTGCCCCGACGCATGCGGGGTGGAGAGCACGTCACCCAACGGCAAGCCTGCCACCGACGCCACGATCTCCACGCTCGCGCATGAGCTCACCGAAGCTGCCACTGACCCAAATACGAATGCGGGGTGGTTTGACGACAACGGCGAGGAGAATGCGGACAAGTGCTCATGGGACTACGGCAGCACCAAGAGGGGATCGCTGCAGAACGGGCAGAGCTACGAGTACAATCTGGTGGGGTTGAACGGGATGAAGTTCCTCGTGCAGCTCAATTGGGACCGCATGAGAAGCAAGTGCATCCTGCAGAACGCCCTGCCTGCTGACAGTAGTGGTGGGGGAGGCACTCCCTCTCCCCCTTCCCCTCCACCCCCACCTCCCCCCACTGGAGGCAGTGTGAAGATGAAGTGTGATTGCAACTGTGCGAGTGCCAGCAACCCCATGAGCTGCCAGTGCTCCTGCACCAAGACAGGGTGATTTGTGTGACGCGTGTGACAGGTGCCTTGTGGGGTGGGTGCAGGGCTGACGTTTCATATTTAGGCGCCCTGATTTCCAACTATAATAAAAAAAAATCTACTCTGAAGGCACATGTTCCAGAAAACGGCACCCTGTGTCAGAAACAACTAGCAGGAATGAATGAACTAGGTCAAAGTTTGGTACCGTCATACCCCGGATATACCCCCATGGGGGGCACTAATAAAACATGTTTTTTTTAGGGGGTGGGCTTATAATATACGGTAGTAAAAATATAAGCGCCGGCGTTTATGTTATTTCAAAAATGAATTTTGTTTTTAAATATACCAAATTGAAGCATTCTCAAAGGCGGATTCACCTGAGTCGAGAACGTTCGACTCTGTGCATGCTTTGCGCGTGAAACGACCAACAAGGCGTGGCATCACGCCTTCCACGCCTTGTTGGCCAGGCCAGGTTCATCGAACGTGAACTTGGCCCATGCCAGTGCACACGTACTTCGCATCACAGCGGCCCAATCAGGGTTGCGTGCGATCGTGGGCGACGTGCCCATCAACAGCAAGATTCCCTGCCACCGAGGCAAAGAGCTGCCCAGCTCAGCTCCTCTGCGGGGAATCTTGACTGTGGCCACACTTTCCCCGCAGAGGAGGCCGGGCCGCGAAACTGAAGGGGTCTCGGGCGAGGGCTTCATACGGCCCTCATTCTCAACTTTTGGTTCAGTTTTCTTCGTTCGTTTGGCCTGCCGTGGCCATGGCGGGCCTTCCAGACACGCATTTCTTGTTCCGCCGCCAACCTGCTGCTAGAGAAAGTACTCGCAGAGACACCCGTGACTACTCTCAATGGCAGTCGCGCCCTGCGCCCGTCCCTCCATCACAACCAGTAGTCTCTCCCATTCCTCCCACTCCTCCTACACCTCCTACCCCTCCCGCTCCCCCGGCGCCTCCTATTCCTCCCGTTCCTCCGTCCCCTCCTGTCCCGCCTGCTGTTGGTGTTCCGCGACAGAGGGTTCTGCAGCTTCTCCTCCCGCCTGTCCGAGCCTGAACGCAGCGGCGGCGAAGGATCTTCCTCCACACTAGAGCCACGATGGGAACGCCGGCTGATTGCCCGTTGGATGAATCCGCTACCGGTGCGGACGACGACGTGGAGTTCTGGGCTGCTAACGGTCTCCCCGAGCACCTTCCAATTCCCTCCTTTCCCCCTCCGAATAAAAAAAGGCCCCACCCATCTCGCGATAATCGTGATGCCCGTCCTCCCTCCCCCAGGCACAAGCCGACAAAGCACAAGCGCAATTCCTACACCTCGCATGAGAAGCTGCAATGGATTCTGAAGCTCGAAGCCGGAGAGATGAGTGTGCGGCGCATGTCTCGCGAATCCGGCATCTCTCGAAGGTGCCTCACGGAGTGGAAGAACCGCAAGGCTGAGCTTGAGGGCGCACATGGTGCACGCTGTCGCCTGCACGGCCGCGGAAGGAGCTCGTGGTATCGCGACATGGAAGCGGAGGTGTACCGGAGGTTTCTCGGCCACCGCAAGAAGTGCCTCGCCGTCTCGATCGCACGACTGCAGAAGTGGTCGCACGAGGTGATGAAAGAGTTACACCCAGGTGAAAAGTGGGCCGGCTCTCAGTGGTGGACTCAGCGCTTTCGCCGCCGCTTGAACCTGACGACCAGAGCGAAGACCTGGGTCGCCCAGAAGCTCTCGTCCAGTGAGTTGTCTTTGGTGGTATTGTTATTTGTCTGTTCCCGTCTATTCACGGCTCTCACGCTGTGTTTGTGCTTTCTGTTCCTCCCATCCTGTGTCCTAGACTGCGAGACTGATGTCAAGAACTTCTAGACGTACGTGCGTCACTCCCGCCGCCAGTACAAGATCGACCTGCCGTGGATTCTAAACGCGGACCAGACGCCCCCCTGGCTCGAGATGCCATCCGAACGCACCGTTGAAGAGGTTGGCTCGCGCTCCGTGCCCGTCCTCAGCGGCGGCTACCAGAAAGAGCGGGTTACAGTGATGCTCGCCTGCACCGCCAGCGGGGAGAAGTTGAAGCCGTGGGTCTTCTTCAAAAGGAAGACCGTCCCCAAAGGAGATTTCCCTTCAGGTATGCACCACACGTCGATTACGAGGTGGCATGTTGATGTCAGTTAAAAATTTGAATAACATCGTGGTTTTGTTGCTGTGCAGATGTCCACGTGGGGGTCCATCCCAACGGTTGGATGGACGCGGACGGTGTCATCGAGTGGCTGGACGGGGCGGTGAAGCCGTACATCAACCCCAAGTTTGGAGTCCGCCCCCGCAAAGCTCTGCTCGTCCTCGATTCGTACCGCGGGCACCTGACCCCGGAGGTGAAGAAGAAGTTTGGCGAGCTGAACCTGGTCCCTGCGGTTATCCCTGCTGGCTGCACCTCGGAGATTCAACCCCTCGACGTCGCGGTTAACCGCTCCTTCAAGGCCGCCATTCGCCAGCTCTACCAGGAGTGGTTTGAGCGTGAGGGGGTCGACACCTTGACGAAGAAAGGTGAGAGGTGCAGCCTCTCTGTTTATGTTTTTATCTTTAACCCGTGCTGACCCGGTTTCTGGATTTGCGTGGCAGGCAACATCAAGAAGCCTCCTATCGAGCTGATGCTCAAGTGGATCTCGGCGGCCTGGAAGTCCGTGCCCAAGGAGCTCATTCAACGGGCGTTCCTCACCTGCGGCATCAGCAACGCCCTGGATGGGTCCCAGGACAAGCTCTGCCTGCAACACAGGCGAGACAAGCTCGAGGGCGAGGAGGTCGACATGGATGATGAAATTGCAGCAGACGGTTTCTTCTGCAACAACGTAGAGGAACCTGAGTCGGACTCTGAGGCCGACCCAGATGACCCCACCGCAACTGATGATTAGAGTAGGGTAGATGTGTAGAAAATGGTGAAGCCTGAGTGAGGCTCGTAGGTAGGAGTAGATTAACTAGTTGTAGATTAATTATGATGATATTTTAGTGGATTAATTATGTAAAAGGTCTTAAACTAAAAAAGGACAAAAAAACCAGGTGGCGGTTATAAAGTGTAAGGCAGAGGTATGCGGTTATAATCCGTAAGCCTTTTAGGTATGCGCTTATAATCGAGCACCGGATATAAGCGCCACACGCCAATTAAAAGCGCCAGGCGCTTATCCGCGGGTGGCGCTTATGTTCGGGGTATGACGGTACAAGTATGAAACCCTAAAGGGGCTATACCCCATATTAGCTACCCCACTACAGCCTACACATATGTAGCACATATGTAATTTGACACACCCCAATGGGCAAAGTGGGGGAGAGCAAGGGGTCACATGACCAGTCAAGAAAAGCAAAGCAAGCTCGGGGTGGATCACAACGTCACCACACACACTGAGCAAAAGCAAAGGCCACAGGGCCAGTTCACATGCAGAGGTATATATATTAACAACAGCACAATGATCACTACCTAGTAAGAGCAAGCATGCAGGTATATATATATAGGTCACAGTACACGCAAAGTCAACAGCAAGTGAGGAAACGTAGGCACAAGGCCTAACAAAGTACAAAGCCGCTGATGATCACCAGACGGAAGTGCCTTGGTGAATATATCAGCAATGTTGGCCCGAGTGGCCACGTGAGCAAGATGAAGCTGACCACGCTGCTGCAACTCTCGAGCAAGAAGTAACGCAGAGCGATGTGCTTCGTTCTGTGCTCCAGTCTGTGCTCCTGATACAAGGCAATGGCGGCCTTGTTGTCTACGTACAGAAATGGAGGAGAACGAGGCCGCTCTCCCAAGTCGGTCAGCAGGTAGGTGAGCCAGCGTAGCTCCTGTGCAGCCATGGCTGTGGCGTAGATCTCAGCCTCACAACTGGAGCTGAGAACTGAAGACGAGCGTGTAGACCGCCACGAAACAGAGCCAGAGCCAAGGCTGAACGTGTAACCCTGTGACGACCGCTGCGTAGCTAGGTCGTCAACCTAAGAAGCGTCTGAGTGCCCAGTGAGGACAACTGGGCTCCGCCCTCCAAGCACAAGCCCCATGCCCGATGTACTACACAAGTAGCGCAGTACCCTCTTAGCAACATCCATGTGCACCTTTCGGTGCCTACCAGGAGCCACGTAGCGAGCCAGAAGGCTAAGAGGGTACCCAAGGTCAGGTCGAGTGCAGGTCATCAGGTACATGAGGCAGCCCACTAGCTCTGGGTACGGACCACTCGGCTCTACGGTCTCGTCCGAAGGTGGAGCTGAGAGCGAGTGGCCTGTAGCCAGAGGAGTGGGCTGTGGCGAGGACCAGGTGAAGCCGGAGCGCTGAAGGACCTGCTGCACCATGTGTGACTGAGTCAGTGTCATGGTGCGGCGTGCTCTGTCCCGGGTGATTTGCAAGCCAAGGTAACTGCGCAGCTCACCCAGGTCTGTGCACGTGTGTCTCTTCTGCAGCTCCAACTTCACCAGGGCGAGAGCCTCAGTGTCAGCAGTGGCAAAGACCAAGTCGTCGACGTACACGAGGATGTAGAACGGCGGCAGCGAAGTGTCGGTGCGTAGAAACAGCGACGGGTCAGCAGTAGAAGGGGCGAACCCAAGAGCCGCAAGTGTCGTCCTCAGTGTGTTGTGCCACTCACGAGGCAACTGGCGGAGACCGTAGACCGGCCGACGGAGGCTCCACTTGGTACCAGGAGGAAACTACCCAGTGAAGCCAAGTGGGCGGCGCAGCCAGATCTCCTCGTGCAGACTGCCCTGTAAGAACGCTGTGCTGAAGTCTAGAGAGTGAAGCTCGTAGTCACGCTGAGCGGCGACGTGCAGCAGCACCCGAAGAGTGGTCATCTTCGGGGTGGGGTAGAAGGTCTGGAAGAAGTCAACTCCCTGCCGCTGACTGAAGCCTCGTGCAACGTAACGAGCCTTGAAGACAGGCGGAGAACCCGGCGGCCGCTTCACCCTGAAAATTCACATGCCATCGACGATGTTCGCCCCAGGAGGGGGAACCTCATCGACGTAAGTGCTTGTGGACTTCCAGGATGCCATCTCTGCGTCCATGGCTGCCAGCCACT